TGATAAGTTTGTAGACTTTATACACCTGAATAGGAATATCCACAAGACCTGGAGTTAACAGACTGTGGTAAATTCGGATATCTCAAAGTCTATTGTCTAATGCTTATCTGCCCTCTAATTGGCTTGAATGGTCCTACCTGATCTCGCCTGCCGTCATTAATTGAGCACATGTATTTCCATTGTTAGAACGGTAATTCGGCTCTCTTGTCAATTTAATAGATACTCTTCACCTTTATATCTCCTCAACCAATCAACACTCCCTTTGAATAAGGACAGTCCCCCTTTTCGTTGGCTATTTGCTGATGGACTTGAATTTGGTTTCAAGAGTTGAGACAAGGAAGAGTTAAGTGGGACAAGGTAAGTTCAGTAACATTTTAAAGAGTGAAATAGATAAACATACTCACTGGACCAATAAAGCTAGCTAGCTAGTGGGTAGCTACTGGTAACTATTAGCAACTGTGGATAGTTGTTTCCAATGTTATTTCACGCTTAAGAGTACCTGTAATTATGCCAGCTAGCTACCTACCATTCAGCTGTTTTTCTAACCTCATTATCTGAAGCGTTAACGTTAGGTAGTTAGTAGCTACTGTACTCGAAATGTAGCTACCTGGATAGCTAATTAAACAATAGCTGGAACGACCTAGCTTTAATATTTGGAGACGCGTTCTCTCCGTTTGGACAGACGCGAACTGGCTGAATCGATTCAGTGGCTAGCTTTGCACTTAACTGGCTAACAGTAGCTACTAAGGGTAAGTTATAACCTACATTTATTTTTGTTTTGTTTTTACATACTGGTAACATAGGTGACTAGTTAACGTTAGCTTGGCTCTCTGTGTGTTTGTGCCATGGGAGGAGGGGTTAGCTCGTTGGCAGAGAGCAATGGCTAGCTATTATGCTAACTATTCTAGCTAACTAACTGGCTGAATAAGTTGACGACGTACTCACTCAAACTGTCAAAACTAACCCAAAACTTGACACAACGTTAGACACAGACACGAATGATCTGCTTGGCGTGTTAACACACTGATGGTTTGTTGTAACCGTGTATTGGTGCTAAACCGTGTTATTGGATGCTGGCATGCTAGTTGGCTTTGGCGTCATAGGATTCGGTGCCCTGGACGATTTTCACGGAAGAATACTGTACCAAGTTGCTAGCTGAATAAACTAAGTTAGTCTATTCCTAGAAACATTGAACCGCTGTAGTTTACAACAATTATAATTTCTAAAGTGGAAGTTGGGAGAGCTATATTTGAGTGTTTCAGTGAAACTTAAGTGAGGGAGGCCCGCTCTCTCGCATTCCCAGATGTTTAGTTCATTCCGATCTCCTTTGCATTATTGTAGCCTTTTTCTGTAGCCTGTCAACTATGTGTCTGTCTATCCCTGTTCTCTCCTCTCTGCACAGGCCATACAAACGCCTCACACCGCGTGGCTGCTGCCACTCTAACCTGGTGGTCCCTGCACGCACGACCCAAGTGGAGTTCCAGGTCTCTGGCAGCCTCTGGAACTGCCGTTCTGCGGCCAACAAGGCAGAGTTCATCTCAGCCTATGCTACCCTCCAGTCCCTCGACTTCTTGGCGCTGACGGAAACATGGATTACCACAGAAAACACTGCTACTCCTACTGCTCTTTCCTCGTCTAACCATGTGTTCTCGCAAAGGAATCCTCATCTCTCCCAAGTGGACATTCTCTCTTTTCCCCCTGACCCATCTGTCTATCTCCTCATTTGAATTCCATGCTGTCACAGTCACTAGCCCATTCAAGCTTAACATCCTTGTCATTTATCGCCCTCCAGGTTCCCTTGGAGAGTTCATCAATGAGCTTGACGCCTTGATAAGTTCCTTTGCTGAGGATGGCTCACCCCTCACAGTTCTGGGTGACTTTAACCTCCCTACGTCTGCCTTTGACTCATTTCTCTCTGCCTCCTTCTTTCCACTCCTTTCCTCTTTTGACCTCACCCTCTCACCCTCTCACCGTCCCCCCCCTACTCACAAGGCAGGCAATACGCTTGACCTCATCTTTACTAGATGCTGTTCTTCTACTAATCTAATCTCTAATCTCACTGCAACTCCTCTCCAAGTCTCCGACCACTACTTTGTATCCTTTTCTCTCTCGCTCTCCTCCAACAATACTCACTCTGCCCCTACTCAGATGGTAATGCGCTGTCGCAACCTTTGCTCTCTCACTCCCGCTACTCTCTCCTCTTCCATCCTATCATCTCTTCCCTCTGCTAAATCCTTCTCCCTCCGATCTCCTGATTCTGCCTCCTCAACCCTCCTCTCCTCCCTTTCTGCATCTTTTGACTCTCTATGTCCCCTATCCTCCCGGCCGGCTCGGTCCTCCCCTCCTGCTCCGTGGCTTGACGACTCATTGCGAGCTCACAGAAGAGGGCTCTGAGCGGAAATGGAGGAAAACTAGACACCCTGCGGACCGGTCATCTTTTCACTCCCTCCTCTCTACATTTTCTTCCTCTGTTTCCGCTGCTAAAGCCACTTTCTACCACTCTAAATTTCAAGCCTCTGCCTCTAACCCTAGAAAGCTCTTTGCCACCTTCTCCTCCCTGCTGAATCCTCCCCCTCCCTCCTCCCTCTCTGTGGATGACTTCGTCAACCATTTTGAAAAGAAGGTTGACGACATCCGATCCTCATTTATTAAGTCAAATGACACCGCTGGTCCTGCTCACACTGCCCTACCCTATGCTTTGACTTCTTTCTCTCCCTCTCTCTCCAGATGAAATCTTGCGACTTGTGACGGCCGGCCGCCCAACAACCTGCCCGCTTGACCCTATCCCCTCCTCTCTTCTCCAGACCATTTCCGTAGACCTTCTCCCTTACCTCACCTCGCTCATCAACTCATCCTTGACCGCTGGCCATGTCCCTTCCGTCTTCAAGAGAGCGAGAGTTGCACCCCTCCTCAAAAAACCTACACTCGATCCCTCCGATGTCAACAACTACAGACCAGTATCCCTTTATTTTCTCTCCAAAACTCTTGAGTGTGCCGTCTCTAGCCAACTCTCCTGCTCTCTCTCAGAATGACCTTCTTGATCCAAACCAGTCAGGTTTCAAGACTGCTCTTCTCTGTGTCACGGAGGCTCTCCGCACTGCTAAAGCTAACTCTCTCTCCTCTGCTCTTATCCTTCTAGACCTATCCGCTGCCTTTGATACTGTGAACCATCAGATCCTCCTCTCCACCCTCTCCGAGTTGGGCATCTCCGGCGCTGCTCACTCTTGGATTGCGTCCTACCTGACAGGTCGCTCCTACCAGGTGGCGTGGCGAGAATCTGTCTCCGCACCACGTGTTCTCACCATTGGTGTCCCCCTGGGCTCAGTTCTAGGCCCTCTCCTATTCTCTCTATACACCAAGTCACTTGGCTCTTGTCATATCCTCACATGGTCTCTCCTATCATTGCTACGCAGACGACACACAATTAATTTTCTCCTTTCCCCCTTCTGATAACCAGGTGGCGAATCGCATCTCTGCATGTCTGGCAGACATATCAGTGTGGATGTCGGATCACCACCTCAAGCTGAACCTCGGCAAGACAGAGCTGCTCTTCCTCCCGGGGAAGGACTGCCCGCTCCATCATCTCGCCATCACGGTTGACAACTCCATTGTGTCCTCCTCCCAGAGTGCAACGAACCTTGGCGTGACCCTGGACAACACCCTGTCGTTCTCCGCTAACATCAAAGCGGTGACCCGATCCTGCAGGTTCATGCTCTACAACATTCGCAGAGTACGACCCTACCTTACACAGAAAGCGGCACAGGTCCTAATCCAGGCACTTGTCATCTCCCGTCTGGATTACTGCAACTCGCTGTTGGCTGGGCTCCCTGCCTGTCCAATTAAACCCCTACAACTTATCCAGAACGCCGCAGCCCGTCTGGTGTTCGACCTTCCTAAGTTCTCTCATGTCACCCCGCTCCTCCGCACGCTCCACTGGCTTCCAGTTGAGGCTCGCATCTACTACAAGACCATGGTGCTTGCCTACTGAGCTGTGAGGGGAACGGCACCTCCTTACCTTTAGGCTCTGATAAAAAAGTGGTTGTCCCACTGGCTATCATAAGTTGAATGCACCAATTTGTATGTCGCTCTGGATAAGAGCGTCTGCTAAATGATGTAAATGTAGATAACAAATGAATTAAAAGTTCCTGCTGCATGTGCAGGCTAGGTAAGACTAAGAATGCTGCACTTTATATAAATAATTATTCAAGTGGTCTTAGTTTTTCACAGATACTGTATAATGAAAAGAACAGCTCCATTTGAAAATGTAGACTAATATTTAACTTAACGCACAGGGATTATCAGGGCTGTATTTACTAGGAACCAAACAGAAGCAAACGGGCCAAAACTGGGCGGGACTAACATGAATTTGTCCAATAAGAAATACTTGTTTTCCATTTGACCTGATCTCACTTCAGTTATTATGTTCTTTGATAATGCAATTTACCCTTTAATAAAAAATATTCAAAATAAACAAATTATGTGGAAGCATTGCAAAAGTCTCCAAATGGGTTTTATGAGAGAGGAATGGAAATGTTTGTTGCTAATAGTAGCCAACTCAGTTTTTTTTTAATCCTTGCCATGCATTAGCCAAGTTACAATAAAAGCGTATAACATTTTCTACACAAGTGCCTTTATATTTTTGGAAGGTTTTGCTAATGCTTATGCACTGTTCACACTACCAAAATCTACTTTGTTGCTTGTTTGACTGTTCATCACAATTTCAAAGAGCACCTATCGTCTGATTTAGATTGCCAAAGAAGCGCTCCTCTGTTTTGTTAAATAGATCATTATAAGATGTGGTAATGATCTGTAGGAACTGTACTGTTTAAACCTGCTAGAATGATTAAAAAAAATCTGAATACCTAACCCCTCCTCTTTGGCTGAACCTGAGCCCTAAAGAGGGCTGTGTCTACTTATGTAAGTCAGTTGTTGTGATGGGGCACACACACTTCCCGATTTCACATCACGGTCTTATCTTAGAGCACTGCTTGTGGAGATCCATGGCTCTTATGGGAGATCTTCTCCTCCAGGCTCCCAGCACGGTGACATTGCTGGGGGCTGTGCTGTTTCTGCTGGTCCTCTACCTCTTCTTCTCTGGTTCCAACTCTGAGGAACAGGGGAAGGAGCCTCCAGGACCCAGGCCACTGCCCCTGCTTGGTAACATGCTCCAGCTGGATCTCAAGGAGCCCTATCACACTCTCTGTGAGGTAACAAGAAGTCCTGCGTTGCTTTCAGAGAACCATGTTGAGGTTGTTGATATGATCTGTGAGATTTTATCTGTTTCATCTCACTTTTATAGTTTTCTTGCTATTTCACCAGGTTTGAAAAGTTTAGTAAGCAAACTGATATAATGGACTTCCGCACATTGTACATGCTTTTAGCTGGTTAATGTTGTTTAATGTTCGATTCTTCAGTGTATTTCAATGGATATGTCCTGCCCAAGTAGCCTGGTCACATATCTGTTTTTTGTTGGGACCAGGCTATGGTCAAAATACTTTGTGATGGTGACCAAAGCATTGCAAGCAAAGAGATGAGAGGCCACTTTAGCCACTTTAGAATATTGGAGATGCACCCTAGAAATATCCCTTCAGTATTTAAACCCAGGTCTCACCTCAACTGTAAACCATTGTTTTCAGGCTGTTTCTGGACTGAAACTTGTTTAACAAGCCATATGTGATGTCCAGTTTTGTGCTTATTCATATATCATTACGAGACATAACTGAGTCTATGGTATACTTTATGTATGCTTTATCTGTCCAGCTTTCCAAGAAATACGGCTCCATCTTCACGGTTCACTTTGGACCCAAGAAAGTGGTTGTTCTGGCAGGATACAAGACGGTCAAGCAGGCACTGGTCAACCAGGCAGAGGACTTTGGGGACAGGGACATCACTCCTGTGCTCAGTGAACTAAACCATGGACATGGTAATGATATTACTTATTCTGGCTATGTCACATTCTTAAAGGGATAGTTCACCCAAATTACAAAATCATATTGGGTTTCCTTACCCTGTAAGCAGTCTATGGACAAGCTAAGACAACAATCCATGCTTTAGTTTTGTTTACCTGGCCACAACAGCTAACAGCTAATCCAGTACAAGTCAATATCCCCACATATTAGCTTGTTTTGCGTTTTATGTCCAAATCATCTTAAAGTAATTGTCCAGTGTTTCCAGATATCTATGAAATATAACCGAAAATGTGTTACAATATGAGTGACATATTCTTCCTTCCAAAACAATTGTAATTGAGTATGTTAAAAATAAGCTTTTCTGTGTTGGAATGGTGTGGGCGTACCACAACAGAATCGTGTGGGCTTATACCAGTCCTAAAACATATTAATGTGAGTAGACGACTGATTGGTCAGCTCATCCTCGTCAAGAGGATGACATCCTATATGAGGAAATAGCAAGCATTTTTTATAATAATAATAATAATATGCCATTTAGCAGACGCTTTTATCCAAAGCGACTTACAGTCATGCGTGCATACATTTTTTTTTGTGTGTATTTTTAAATAGTCTGTTTGAGATAAAAGTTGTAGTGTTTTTTTCTCCAATTTATGTTTGGCCACAAAAGGAGGAGTCAACAACATTATGTGGGTATAAGTTAACAGAATATTAACTTTTAAAAGTGAGATTTTCACTGGACAGTTACTTTAAAGCTGCAATATGTAACTTTTTGGGCGACCTTACCAAATTCACATAGAAATGTGAGTTATAGATATGCTATTCGCGTTGAAAGCAATTGTAAGAAGCGGTAGATCTGTTCTACAGTGGGGAAAAAAAGTATTTAGTCAGCCACCAATTGTGCAAGTTCTCCCACTTAAAAAGATGAGAGGCCTGTAATTTTCATCATAGGTACACGTCAACTATGACAGACAAAATGAGAAAGAAAAATCCAGAAAATCACATTGTAGGATTTTTAATGAATTTATTTGCAAATTATGGTGGGAAATAAGTATTTGGTCACCTACAAACAAGCAAGATTTCTGGCTCTCACAGACCTGTAACTTCTTCTTTAAGAGGCTCCTCTGTCCTCCACTCGTTACCTGTATTAATGGCACCTGTTTGAACTTGTTATCAGTATAAAAGACACCTGTCCACAACCTCAAACAGTCACACTCCAAACTCCACTATGGCCAAGACCAAAGAGCTGTCAAAGGACACCAGAAACAAAATTGTAGACCTGCACCAGTCTGGGAAGACTGAATCTGCAATAGGTAAGCAGCTTGGTTTGAAGAAATCAACTGTGGGAGCAATTATTAGGAAATGGAAGACATACAAGACCACTGATAATCTCCCTCGATCTGGGGCTCCACGCAAGATCTCACCCTGTGGGGTCAAAATGATCACAAGAACGGTGAGCAAAAATCCCAGAACCACACGGGGGGACCTAGTGAATGACCTGCAGAGAGCTGGGACCAAAGTAACAAAGCCTACCATCAGTAACACACTACGCCGCCAGGGACTCAAATCCTGCAGTGCCAGACGTGTCCCCCTGCTTAAGCCAGTACATGTCCAGGCCCATCTGAAGTTTGCTAGAGTGCATTTGGATGATCCAGAAGAGGATTGGGAGAATGTCATATGGTCAGATGAAACCAAAATATAACTTTTTGGTAAAAACTCAGCTCGTCGTGTTTGGTGGACAAAGAATGCTGAGTTGCATCCAAAGAACACCATACCTACTGTGAAGCATGGGGGTGGAAACATCATGCTTTGGGGCTGTTTTTCTGCAAAGGGACCAGGACGACTGATCCGTGTAAAGGAAAGAATGAATGGGGCCATGTATCGTGAGATTTTGAGTGAAAACCTCCTTCCATCAGCAAGGGCATTGAAGATGAAACGTGGCTGGATCTTTCAGCATGACAATGATCCCAAACACACCGCCCGGGCAACGAAGGAGTGGCTTCGTAAGAAGCATTTCTAGGTCCTGGAGTGGCCTAGCCAGTCTCCAGATCTCAACACATAGAAAATCTTTGGAGGGAGTTGAAAGTCTGTGTTGCCCAGCGACAGCCCCAAAACATCACTGCTCTAGAGGAGATCTGCATGGAGGAATGGGCCAAAATACCAGCAACAGTGTGTGAAAACCTTGTGAAGACTTACAGAAAACGTTTGACCTGTGTCATTGCCAACAAAGGGTATATAACAAAGTATTGAGAAACTTTTGTTATTGACCAAATACTTATTTTCCACCATAATTTGCAAATAAATTCATTAAAAATCCTACAATGTGATTTTCTGGATTTTTTTTTCTCATTTTGTCTGTCATAGTTGACGTGTGTACCTATGATGAAAATTACAGGCCTCTCTCATCTTTTTAAGTGGGAGAACTTACACAATTGGTGGCTGACTAAATACTTTTTTCCCCCACTGTATGTGGTCTATTTCTATGCTTCCCATTCTTAAATTTCTTTTTAAAGCAACTTTATTGAGCTACACAATCAATTGCAGACACTTTGAGATTATTTGGATATGAAATGCATTACTAGCTCTTAAAAGTCTTATTCTAGCCTGGTGGAACCAGCCTGATTGCTGCATTCACCATTCTGTTTTACTGCATGTATCAGCCTGGCCTTTCTCCAATAGATGACAAAATTACTTTTCCAATCAGCGCCCTCTCAGAAACAGTGGTTGGGTTTAGGACAAAAACCAATGTTGCCAAATACTATGCTTGAATTAGGCTGTCCTCTGATTGGTTGAAAGTGATCCAATCGCTAACAATTTAGTTCTGAATTATAGATATTTTAGACTGTAGGTTCAAACAGTTTCAATGAGAAGGAATGGCAGACTGATACTTGAGGCTAAATAGAATGGTGAATGTAGAGATCTGCCTGGTTCCACAAGTCCATCAAAGGTTTTTATTCTAATCCTCTGCAAATAATATAAATGTCTATGATTACTTAGAATTTACAGATGATCATGACCAGAAAGGGCGCATAGATAATTTGGCAGATTATTCATTTTCTTGGTACATGTTAATTATTATGAATGAATCAATTAATTATGAAATGGCATATTATTGTGAATATCTATATTATTTATTATTGTTATTGTTATATTATTACACTTTAAATTGTCATAGAAACAAACTACCTTCTTTACAGGGATTCTGTTTGCCAATGGAGACTCATGGAAAGAGATGAGGCGCTTTGCCCTGACGAACCTTAGAGACTTTGGGATGGGCAACAAAGGGAGTGAAGACAAAATCTTAGAGGAAATCCCTTATCTGATTGAAGTGTTTGAAAAACATGACGGTAAGAGCAATATAGGTATCTCTACACTGTAGTAGTAGAAGTAGCATGATGTATTTATAGGTGATGTGTAGGCCTAATTGCCTGGTTAAAAATCTGGCTATTCTTAACCATATTATTAGTAAACAGCTATTTGGCTTTCTATGTGATCGTGTGGGTTCTGGAAAGCTTATTTTGCAATTGATTTCAATGTTTTGTCTATCACAGGTCAGGCATTTGACACCACCCAGCCTGTGATTTATGCCGTCTCCAACATAATCTCGGCCATTGTCTATGGCAGCAGGTTTGAATACACTGACCCCCTATTCACAGGCATGGCAGATAGGGCCAATGAGAGTATACACCTTGCAGGCTCCGCATCAATTCAGGTACAGTCTGCTCATTCAGGCCATTCTGTTTTTACTGTATTTTCTAAATAAATAATGGCTGTCTCAGTGCAATCAATACAACTAGGAAACAGAATACCTGTTAGGAATTACATTTACAGTCATTTAGCAGACGCTCTTATCCAGAGCGACTTACAGTTAGTGAGTGCATACATTATTTTTTATACTGGCCCCCCATGGGAATCGAACCCACAACCCTGGTGTTGCAAACGCCATGCTCTACCAACTGAGCTACATCCCCTGCCGGCCATTCCCTCCCTTCAACTTCAGGGCAATCAATAAAACTAAGGGGGGGAAATGAAAACATTTCCCCCTGCCCTGCAGATGGCTAATAGAGGACTATTAAAGGCCCAGTATCCTACTTTTGTGAAAAAATGTGGCATACTTTTAAAATATACACTACCATTCAAAAGTTTGGGGTCACTTAGAGATTTCATTGTTTTCCATGAAAACATACATGAAATGAGTTTGAATGGGAAATATAGCGAAATGAATAGGAATTGTAGTCATTGACAAGGTTAGAAATAATGATTTTTAATTGAAATAATAATTGTGTCCTTCAAACTTTGCTTTCGTCAAAGAATCCTCCATTTGCAGAAATTACAGCCTTGCAGACCTTTGACATTCTAGTTGTCAATTTGTTGAGGTAATCTGAAGATATTTCACCCCATGCTTCCTGAAGCACCTCCCACAAGTTGGATTGGCTTGATGGGCACTTCTTACGTACCATACGGTCAAGCTGCTCCCACAACAGCTCAATAGGGTTGGGATCCGGTGACTGTGCTGGCCACTCCATTATAGACAGAATATCAGCTGCTTCCCTAAATAGTTCTTGCATAGTTTGGAGCTGTGCTTTGGGTCATTGTCCTGTTGTAAGAGGAAATTGGCTCCAATCAAGCGCGGTCCACAGGTTATGAAGTTGCAAAATGGAGTGATAGCCTTCCTTCTTCAAGATCCCTTTTACCCTGTACAAATCTCTCACTTTACCACCACCAAAGCACCCCCAGACCATCACATTGCCTCCACCATGCTTGACAGATGGCATCAAGCACTCCTCCAGCATCTTTTCATTTGGTCTGCGTCTCACAAATGTTCTTCTTTGTGATCCGAACACCTCAAACTTTGATTCGTTTGTCCATAACACCTTTTTCCAATCTTCCTCTGTCCAGTGTCTGTGTTCTTTTGCCCATCGTAATCTTTTCTTTTTATTGGCCAGTTTGAGATATGGCTTTTTCTTTGCAACTCTGCCTAGAACGTCAGCATCCCGGAGTCGCCTCTTCACTGTTGACGTTGAGACTGGTGTTTTGCGGGTACTATTGAATGAAGCTGCCAGTTGAGGACCTGTGAGGCGTCTTTTCTCAAACTAGACACTCTAATGTATTTGTCGTCTTGCTCAGTTGTGCACCGGAGCCTCCCACTCCTCTTTCTATTCTGGTTAGAGCCAGTTTGCGCTGTTCTGTGAAGGGAGTAGTACACAGCGTTGTACAAGATCTTCAGTTTCTTGGCAATTTCTCGCATGGAATAGCCTTAATTTCTCAGAACAAGAATAGACTGACGAGTTTCAGAAGAAAGTTATTTGTTTCTGGCCATTTTGAGCCTGTAATGGAACCCACAATTGCTGATGGTCCAGATACTCAACTAGTCTCAAGAAGGCCAGATTTTATTGCTTATTTAATCAGCACAACAGTTTTCAGCTTTGCTAACATAATTGCAAAAGGGTTTTTCTAATGATCAATTAGCCTTTTAAAATGATAACCTTGGATTAGCAAACACAACGTGCCATTGGAACACAGGACTGATGGTTGCTGATAATGGGCCTCTGTACGCCTATGTAGATATTCCATAAAAAATCTGCTGTTTTCAGCTACAATAGCCATTTACAACATTAACAATGTCTACACTGTATTTCTGATCAATTTGATGTTATTTTAATGGACAAAACTTTTGAACGGTTGTGTATATTTCTCAGCACCCCTACTTCCCGTAGATGTGAATTCTCTGGTAGCATATTCCTACCTAACAAAAAAAAACCCTTTGGGCGGCAGGTAGCTTAATGGTTAAGAGCGCAGTGCCAGTAATCGAAAGGTCGCTGGTTCTAATCCCCGAGCCGACTAGGTGAAAAATCTGTCGATGTGCCCTTGAGCAAGGCACTTAACCGTAATTGCTCCTGTAAGTCGCTCTGGATAAGAGCGTCTGCTAAATGACTAAAACAAACAAAACATAACAAGTTTAAATTGAGAGCCTGTGAAAAGGTCTGTGAGAGGGTTTTGTGTATGAATGAAAAGTAATGTATTATTTTTACAGAATAGTGTAGGTTAACAGGATGAATAAACCAATATCACAATATGCCTTGCTCATATTGATATAAAACAATCACGGGCTCCCGAGTGGTGCAGCGGTCTAAGACACTGCATCTCAGTGGTTGAGGCGTCACTACAGAACCCCTGGTTCGATTCCAGGCTGTATCACAACCGGCCGTGATTGGGAGTCCCATAGGGCGGCGCATAATTGGCCCAGCGTCGTCCGGGTTTGGCCGGTGTAGGCCGTCATTGTAAATAAGAATTTGTTCTTAACTGACTTGCCTAGTTAAAGGTTAAATAAAAAATCAATATTGAATTATCAATATTGTTACCCACCACTAATAATTACATACTGTATTTATGAATATATATATTTCATTTATCTATAAAATGTATCTATAATTCAATTTACATGTATATATTTAATAATATAATTATAGTTATGTGTTGTGTTGTGTGTAGTATGTTAAATGTAATAATGTTATATTTAATAATATAATTATAGTTATGTGTTGTGTTGTGTGTAGTATGTTAAATGTAATAATGTTATAAATAATTAATATATTAAAATATAGTTTTATGCGTATTCTACCTGTATCTCTGTATAGATGTACAACATGTTTCCCAGGTTGGGCCCGTGGATAACGAACCTGACGCGTCTGAAGAAAAATGTTGCTGATACGAAGATGGAGGTGACAGAGCTGGTGAGAGGCCTGAAGGAGACTCTGAACCCTGAGATGTGTAGAGGCTTTGTGGACTCGTTCCTCGCCCGAAAGCAGACCCTGGAGGTATGAAGAGTTCATGCAGAATCTGCATCTCATGCATACATAATAAAGTGTTGCATCAATATTGCTCAGTATAACTATACAGAATATAATTAAGCAAGTCCCAAGGGGGTGTGGTATATGGCCAATTTACCACAGCTAAGGGCTGTTCTTAGGCGCAGTGCCTGGATACAGCCCTTAGCTGTGGTATATTGGCCATATACCACAACCCCATAGGTGCCTTGTTGGTATTATAAACTGGTTACTAACATAATTAGAATGGTAAACTAGTGATTTTGCATCATACCGGCCAATCATCATCCAGGACCCAAAGTACCCAGTTTATAATACTCATTATGCCATCCTGTGGTGCACTTGGATACTGCAGCAGAACACAACTAACTTGAGTTGTCCACCAGGAACATACCAATGGGCACAGACGTCAATTCAACGTGTATTCGACATTGGTTCAACGTAATTTCATTGAAATCCAGTGTGTGACCAGTATGCATATGACTGAATGCCAGATGAGGGAGGATAGAAGTAGAGTTTTTTCCTTATCAGTAGAATTTCATGTAAACTCACACAGACTCAAACACGAAAACATTTCCTGCTTTAAAAGAATGTGTAGATTATCTGTGAATGACTTACAACAGCTCCTTAAGTAACTGTTGTACATAATTCATATGTCATCTGCGGGTCTCTATCTGTTAGGAATCTGGCAATATGGATTCTTTCTACCATGACAACAACCTGGTATTTAGTGTTGCTAGCCTGTTTTCTGCTGGTACCGACACCACCGGGACAACCCTGCGCTGGGGTCTGCTGCTAATGGCCAAGTACCCTCACATACAGGGTAAGGATTTATATAAACACACACACCACAGGAGGCTGCCGAGGGTAGTACGGCTCATAATAATGACTGGAATGAAATTAATGTAATAGTCTTTTTTAAAATCTTTTTTTGATTTCTCAGACGCTCTTATCCAGAGCGATTTACAGGAGCAATTACGGTTAAATGCCTTGCTCAAGGGCATATCAACAGTTTTTTTCACCTAGTTGGCTCGGGGATTCAAACCAGTGACCTTTCGGTTACTGGCCAAGTGCTCTTAACCGCTAATCTACCTGCCGCCCATGCATGTGTTTGATACCATTCCATTTGTTCCGTTCCAGCCATTACTATGAGCCCGTCCTCCCCAATTAAGGTGCCAGTGACCGCCTGTGATGCACGAACGCACAAACACACACAGAGAGACAAAACACTAAAGCACTCATGGTGTTACAAGTTCTAAACATTGACAAAGGGCTGACTTGAAGCAGAGGTTATGAAACTAGATTAAGATGGTTGGGTTAATAAAGGTTAAACATTAACTAAGGTTTCTAAGTTTCAATGCAGTAACTCCAACCCCTCCCTCCTTTCTGTCTCAGATTGAACCACATACCAGGTTAATTATCATTCAGATTAACCTTTCACCTCTGGGTTAGAGTAACAGTGGCACTTTTCCTGTCTTTTTTCAAGACCGGGTCCAGGAGGAGATCAGCAGGGTTATAGGAAGTCGTCAGCCCTTGGTAGAGGACAGGAAGAACCTGCCCTACACTGATGCAGTGATCCATGAGATCCAGAGACTGGCCAATATTGTACCCATGTCCATCCCTCACACCACCAGCCGAGACGTCACCTTCCAGGGATATTTCATCAAGAAGGTCAGATACCTGACTTTCCAAAATAGTTCTTTTTTGTATTTTTTTTAGTTGTCCTGAAATGATTGCAATCCACTCCTTTTGAGTGTGCACTTTATTTATTAAACAAAGTTTCATCACTCATCACTTTTATATATATAACGGAGTCCTACGCTTCACTCTCACTGCAGGGGACGTCTGTGATTCCTTTATTGACGTCCGTCCTACATGACGATAGCGAATGGGAGAGCCCCCACTGCTTTAACCCCTCCCACTTTCTGGATGAGCAGGGACGATTCGTCAAGAGGGACGCCTTCATGGCCTTTTCTGCAGGTATATTAACTTAATTATTTAGCTAATTACTTCATTGCAAGAAGTAGAGAAATTGTGGTAGCCTTTTGGACAGACTTCATGCTATTTTCTATATCTTTGGTCTCTCTCGCAGGTCGTAGGGTGTGTCTGGGGGAGGGTCTGGCCAGGATGGAGCTCTTCCTCTTCTTCACCTCCCTCCTGCAGCACTTTAGTTTCTCTCCTCCTCCTGGAGTAACAGAGGATGATCTGGACCTCACACCATCCGTGGGGTTCACCCTCAACCCTTCACCTCACCAGCTCTGTGCTGTGAGCCGGGTCTGAGAAGCAGTGGCGATTTTAACATAAAATATTGGTGGGGCAAACTCAATCAAAAATATACATATACATTAAATGCACCATCATAATAACCAATCCCAGAAATGAGTTTGCGCGACACACAAACCTTAATATATTTTTTTAATGATCGGTTCATAGGCAACTTCCAATATCTTTTTAGCTCTAATTGCACGGAAGACCACAGTAGTCGAGCATACTTTTATAGAGTAAAGTTTATTTTAATTCAGAATAAATGTCATGTTCTAGTTAAGAATAATGCTTGCGACAAACAAAAAACATCAATTAGCCGCAGTCCTGTGGGTGAAAACAGCTCGTTGATGAGGGAGGTTGAAGGAGAATGGCAGGAATCGTGCAAGCTAACAGGCGGGCAGCAAACTTACAAATAACACAGTGGTGTGTAGAACGGCATCTCGGAACGCACACCTCGTTGATCCTTGTCACGGATGGGCTATTGCAGCAGATGTCCAGACCAGGTTCCACTCCTATCAGCTAAAAACAAGAAGAAGCGGCTCCATTGGGCACGCAATAACCAACACTGGACAATTGAGGAGTGGAAAAACATTGCCTGGTCTGACGAATCCCAGTTCCTGTTGCATCATGCTGATGGCAGAGTCAGGATTTGGCGTAAGCAGCATGAGTCCATGGACCCATCCTGCCTGGTGTCAACAGTACAGGCTGGTGGCAGTGGTGTAATGCTGTGGGGAATGTTTTCCTGGCACACGTTAGGTACCTTGATACCAATTGAGCAATGATTGAATGCCACAGTGTATCTGAACATTGTTGCTGACCAAACCCAATAGAACATCTTTGGGATGAGATAGAACGGGCTGTTCGCAGCATGAATGTACTGCCGTCCAATCTGCAGCAACTTTGTGATGCCATCACGTCAGCATGGACCAACATCCCTGTGGAACGTTTCCGACACCTTGTAGAAACGCTGCTCTGGAGGCAAAGGGGGGTCCGACCTGGTACTAGATGGGTGTACCTATGTAAAAAGTGCTCAGAAAGTGTATTTTTGGAGCTGAATGCCAAAACTTTTAAGCGATAAAGGTGCTCAAAGTTTACTTATTTTGTATACTCCACCATACCATGAGACATCCATGTCTTCATCACTGGAAAAGATAAACAGTTGAGATTTATATCATTTTAAGCTTACAAACAGGGTTGTCAAACTATTTGATAATTTCCTGAAAAACAATATTAAAATAAATACAAAATGTATTTTCTTTAACCTTAAACATAAATGATCAAAAAACGCTTAACCTCATATTTGCATATGTTGTAGCTTAGACCCAATTTTACATTATCTGAGGTTTTTGTGTTGTGCCCATAATTGGTTGAGACACAATGTACTCCTGAATACAGGGTGGGTGTCTTGTTTTGGCTGATACATGTACTAAAATGGGAATCAAATCGAAATTTCAACTTTCAAATGGTACCACAAAGATGTTTGGATCAGAGAATGTTGACTTGAATAGGAATATCTGTTGTTAAAATGTTTACTGTCAATCTTTAATAGGAAACCTATTGAAATCATAGAAATATAGATAATAGAATAGACGTCCATTTAAGTCGACATTTGACGGTGGCTGGACCGGCCGCTATCTTTGTGGTAGTAATTATAAGTTTACATTTCTATTCAACTTCAATGGTGTACCAGCTAAAATTGCAGTGGTCTGAAGGGATAGGTCCATTCTAGGAATTATATTTCTATGATTGAAATGACACCCACCCTGTATTCAAGAGCATGTTGGCGGGCACCACATAAAAACCTAGGGTCTAAGGTAAAACGTATTCGAATATGATATTTTTTTGAGTTTACGTGTTTTTAATTTTTTTAATTTTAAAGAAATTATACAATTGATATCAAACTCAACCGTTTATCTTTTCCAGTGATGAAGACATGGATGTCTCATTGTATGGTGAGGTATCTCCTGAATGTTTTGGCATTCACTTCCAAAAAGTCATTTTCTGACCAATTCTTCCATGGGCAAACATGTCTGGAAAGTTTTGTGTAAATCAAAAGGGATGCTGTCAAAAAGTGATTGGATTCACCCATCAAACATTAAAAACAATACATATAGCTAATTAAAACAGCTGTTTCCATCCAAACCATTGGTTGAATCTTCTTTCCAGCTTTCTTTCTTTTAACAGAGGCCTTATTTGAATGTTCATCGGCTGATGAGCACCGAGACGTTCTATTGCTACATTTTGTTAAGTTGCATCAATTCAAATCTGTTATTAGGAACAAAAGAGGTCAATACACGTCTTCTAAAATAGACTAGTATTTTAATTAATGCAAAACACTTCAATGGTAAATATGATGTTCGTATGTACGGGTCCACTGAAATACCACGCAGGGCACTCAGAGAACTGATCCATTGTTACAGGCTCTTCTTTAAATACCCTGACAGTGATAGCACCCGCTCCTTGCTGGGCCTATCAGAGTAGAGACTGAGCGTGGTTTAGACTTACTCAGCCAATTGTTGGCGCACAGGCTGGTCCCAGACCCTTGGCGCTTTACCGTTGCACACTGTTGCCAGGCATAAGTTGTTATCATCACAACCTGTAGAGTCATCACCCATAGACACTGTTCCCCTGTACTCCTTGTACCTACGTCCTTGGACGGTTCACAGATCACAAAGAGGCAGTGTTCGTGTCTGTGAGAAATACAAGTCTTATCTCATCCTACCCCCTAACGTTCCTCATATGAATCACAGCTTGTTATGTGAAACAATTTATATCAGTGCAGTACAAACCCATTATGTTTAATCATTAATGCATTCCTTCTAGGCTAGCCATCACATCTAGTTATGAGAAAATAGAGCCCCACAATTTCCATCGTTATGAAGTTTGAAAATAATTTGCTAGGAGATAGTCAACATAATTTATGACTTTTCAGCTAGATAAAAGATGATAAACAACTATGAAGTTGACACATTAGTCCAATCAAAGCTATCGGAGATAAGACGTCGATTTATCCGTGGCAAATTACATTGAGTCCTCTTGGGCTAGGACTACTAACGTATCTCTATGGCAGCACCCAAGAGGAGAAAGGTCTATCTGCGGCTCGCACACTGGGCGCGTGTCGCATAGGGGATTTTCGTGTAGTGACAACTTACTACACAGAACACCACAAAGTAGAGCCAACTGAGAGTTTTAAGGAATGCCCAAAGGTTGCACCGTGTAGCTCAGTTGGTAGAGCATGGCGCTTGCAATGCCAGGGTTGTGGGTTCGTTTCCCACGGGGGGCCAGTATGAAAAATGTATGCACTCACTAACTGTAAGTCGCTCTGGATAAGAGCGTCTGCTAAAATGACTAAAATGTAAAAAATGTTGCGTGTTCGAATCGCATCTGGGACAACCGTAGCATTTTAGCTAATTAGCAACTTTAGCTAACCACAAGTGTTTCGCAACTATTTAGTATGTTAGCTAGCCCTTTCCCTAACCACTATCCTAACCTTAACCATGGTAGGATAACTATGTCAATTATCCTAACCACTACGCTAGTTCTCCTAACCGCTATGTTAATTATCCTAACCGCTATGTTAATTATCTTAACCGCTACGTTAATGATCCAAATGCTACGTTAGCCGCTAACAATAGCCACAAATGCTTACGATGCAACAAGCAGCCTGGCCTCGTGATCAATACACAGTTGTCAATGAGTGGGCAGGTCGTTTAATGACATAATACCAATGTACGTTTCGTGTGGGGCGTTGCTTGTAGTGCAGTCCGCAGATAGACATTAAAGGGGGCTAAAGCTGCCTGACCATACCAGCATGCCCTGCGGTTGTGTGCTGTCCCTATGAATTCACATACCCATCCGAACCCTTGAGCCGAACCTTTGAGCACACAGCAGTCAAGCACAACCAATTGCGCACAACCAGAGAAGATCAAGGAGTTGTGTCCCTTGGCTAGCCCCTCCGCTACAAGCACTGAGTGAGGGCTGAAACAGCTGCATTAGGGAGATGCATTAGTTAAAAAATATGTATATACACTACCGGTCAAACGTTTTAGAACAACTACTCATTCAAAGGTTTTTCTTTATTTGTACTATAATAATAATAAGCAAAGAGAAACGACAGTCCATCATTACTTTAAGACATGAAGGTCAGTCAATACGGAACATTTTAAGACCTTTGAAAGTTTATTCAACTGCAGTCGCAAAAACCATCAATTATGAAACTGGCTCTCATGAGGACCGCCACAGGAATGGAAGACCCAGAGTTACCTCTGCTGCAGAGGATAAGTTCATTAGAGTTACCAGACTCAGAAATTGCAGCCCAAATAAATGCTTCACAGAGTTCAAGTAACAGACACATCTCAACATCAACTGTTCAGAGACTGTGGGAATCAGGTCTTCATGGTCGAATTGCAGCAAAGAAACCACTACTAAAGGACACCAATAAGAAGAAGAGACTTGCTGGGGCCAAGAAACCCGAGCAATGGACATTAGACCGGTGGAAATTTGTCCTTTGGTGAGTCCAAATTGGAGATTTGTGGTTCCAACCGCTGTGTCTTTGTGAGATGCAGTGTGGGTGAAAGGATGATCTCTGCATGTGTATTTCCCACCGTAAAGCATGGAGGAGGAGGTGTGATGGACTGGGGGTGCTCGGCTGGTGACACTGTCTGTGATTTACTTCGAATTCAAGGCACACTTAACCAGCATGGCTACCACAGCATTCTGCAGTGATACGCCATCCCATCTGGTTTGGGCTAAGTGGGAATATCATTTGTTTTTCAACAGGACAATGACCCAACACACCTCCAGGCTGTGTAATGGCTATTTGACCAAGAAGTAGAGTGATGGTGCTGCATCAGATGACCTGGCCTCCACAATCCCCCGACCTCAACCAAATTGAGATGGTTTGGAATGAGTGGGACGGCAGAGTGAAGGAAAAGTAGCCTACAACTGCTCAGCATATGTGGGAACTCCTTCAAGACTGTTGGAAAATAATTCCAGGTGAAGCTGGTTGAGAGAATGCCAAGAGTGTGCAAAGCTGTCATCAAG